GAGGAATAGAATGGCGGTGCGGGGCGAGGAGTAGGGAGGCGAGGCGCGCCGCTGCCCGTCCGCCGCTTACGCGACCGCTCGCACGTCTCCCCGCGCGGGGCCGCTAGGCCGACGCATCTCGCCGCGCGCTTACATTCGCCAGTAGGTTGGGCTAATACGGCGATTTTTAAAATTTCGTATCTCGATAACTATTCGTCCAAGCGCAAAATAGTACAATACTTTTCTGTTTGTCTTAGTCCCCTCTACCTTCCCATGACCGGAAGTCAAAGTCTTGCGTAGCACCCTGTATACGAACGGAGCGGCAGTCTTGTAATCTCTCATTAAAATTGTACATAAATCAAAACTCTGCGATGTCTTCAGATTCGAAATACCGGCGCGCTTATCGTCGACTCTCGTGACTATCTGGTGTGGTACATTGGTATCTATGCGACGCGCGTAACGCGCCAATGCGAACTATCGGAAATGGCTCTTGTATCTCGCATCAGAGCGAGCGTCGCTTCAACGTGAAGACATGTGGGTTTTCAATTAAGTTTATAAATGAAATGACTGAGCGATGCACGTGTATCAAAGAGAATCGCTTCGAGATGTAGCGCCTCACATTTGTCACATCAATGATTACGCCTACTTTCTCTATATAGCGTGATATATAAATAAATAAATGTGCAACATGCTAATATTGGCTTCTTGAGCAACAAGCGATACATCTCGAACGTCGAAATAGCACTGATAGATATCCCCATCGGCCGGAACGTGAATATAAATTACATTAGACGGGATGTTATTTTCGCATCGCTCCTTTCGTTTTATCGGCCTGATTTAACTGCGAGCTTCAATGATCGTAGGCTCTAGTGATGTATCGATGGTGTCGACGTCTCGGTATGTCCGGGATGTTCGCGAAAGTGTAACGCGAGCCATCGAAGTAGGATACGTGCATCTCGGGACGGAGCGAAAGAAATCGACGTGTCACGGGAGTGACATAGGTCGGTCTTATCTCAAATACACACAGCCGCGATTGCACGCGTGATTGCACGATACAGATTCGAGGCGCCGTAATTCAAGGATTGTCAGCCGGCGCCGAAGCTCGCTGTCTCGCTTACGCTCAGGTGAGAAACGGAACTGTAAATATTTTCCGTCGAAATCACCACACCGCAATATCTCTCCGCCGGAGCTGTAATTACGGAGCGTGAAGCAACGTAATCGAACGCAAAGTATTTACATAAATCAGTCGGACGACCGTGTGTTTAATTAAAATCCACCCAATGCCTCGGTATATTTCTGACGTAGTTAGAATTATTATTATATAAGCTTCGACGCCTATTACTTCTGACGTCTTCTTCAGCCGATTCTCTTCATGTGATCCGACGGACATCGCGTTGTCCGATCAAAATTAATCAAGCATGGCAGATGAATGAATCCAAAAAGAGTTTGAAGTTCACGCAAATAAGAACATCTACGAATGTCTACGATTCAATATCGACTGATCTCTTTCGCATGGTCGTATCTCGCTTTTATGCAATTTCTGTTAGTGCTTGAACTTTTTGTGCTTTTTGTGCTTGAACATTCTTTCTGGACCCGAACGAGCGTTTAACAGCAGAAATTGCGTAAAATCGAGATACGACTTTGCGAAAGAGATCAGTCGATATTGTTGTCTTGATTGCAAGATGTACTGATAATTGAGAAGACTCAATTCTTCATCTTTTGATTTCTAAAGTGTTTTTCAAGAGACCCGCTTTTATTAATATTACTCCAATCAGAGTATATTAATGATTAAATTTCCAATATTTGGATCGTTAAAAACAATAACTATAGTGATCTGTAAAACTTAACAAATCGTACAAGAACTGTATATATTTCTCGAGGCACGATGCAGGATGTTGTGTGCATTCGTAAATTTCTGCTCTTACAATTGTTATTTTCAATATTTTCATGCTTACAATACACGCGCGCCCGCATACACGCACACACACACACGAGCGAGTGAGAATTGAATCAAAATCGGGAAAATTTCGATATTTTCATTTGGGCTCCTAATTTTCCTTGCAACAAATTTAAGTAATTCAACTTGAACGGCCTGAAGTTACTAGTGAAATAAAGTGCCTGAACGTGCCTTTCTTCGGTGTCGTATATCCGACTTATATTTATGAAATATCACTGCACTCCTACTGTATTAAAGTCTTTCTTCACCTTTAAATACATAAATAATATGTGTGTTTGGTGTACACTTAAGCTTCGTAATGCAAATGATATCAAAATTGTTCTAAACACGTTCCTTTAATTATATACTATTAGTTTTAATGTAATGTAACGCGATATTTTCTGTGAATTTCAAGTGAGCATCTTGGGAGAGATTCTCTAGAAAATCATTAACACAGATTTCGCATAATCAACAAAGTCATAACTGATAATAGAAAATTTATTTGTCCAGTGAACTATTGAGAAGCTATTCTTTTTACGTGTCATCTCTATTATGCAATTGATATCTGACAGCCATAAAACAAAATAACGTTGTGCACAAGATGTGTCGACAGCTCTGAGTTGAATATTGCGAATATTATTTTCTATCACGTATCATAGTCCATCGAAGCCAAAGTCATCTTCTTCTTAAAAATGATATGCCGTGTCGGAACGTCATCGATTTAACGAGATATTTCATGATCAATATTTTCAAATTCCTCTACTTATTATGTGCGACTTTAATTGCCCTCGCGCCCTTTAGCATACTTTTGTAATTATCGGTACAAATATTATCGAATGACGTATCTTGTATCGTCGTTAATTAAGATATATAATGCTTCCCGCGGGAAGTTATTGCTGTGAAAGAAAAGCGTGAATGGAAGTGATTATTTTTGTATCGATGCAGAGAAAAGCGAAATGTGTAGCTTAAGTGATAAGCACGCTGTACTTTATCTGCACAAAAGGAAAAAAAGGAACCTCGATGTTACAATATACACGATCGCAGGCCTGCGATTGCTGTGTGAAATTTCTAAAATGTGGCTTTCAAGCACGCGCGAAGATTTATGTAAATATAGGATTTCTCCTACCGTATATCCGATTTTTCAAAATCTCGGAAAAATTATCCGTCCCGTCGCGTGAACGTAAGCGAAAGAGAGATCGCGAGAAATGACGACGCAAACGAAATTTGCATATCCGGCAACGAATCATAGCGGCTAGAGGACCAAAGATAGCATAAGCTGGACCTGATCGGTTGGTAGCGCAATCGGGTTTTCTCCTTTTTTTTTTGCGGAATTTAATTATAATAACATAAACAAAACGAGTTGTCGCACGAGCACGACGAGATAACTCGCGCGAAAACTCGAGGCTTACCAGAGATCCCGGTCCTACGTACGTACAGATTGTAACATACCATTAGGATTAGCTAGTTTATTCCTTATGTGCGACGATTAAGATTAGTTTAGATTAATTGTTCGACAACGACGTTACTTCGCTGGCAATGAAAAGCCCGCGGCAGAGACCACGATCGACGAGTCGAATCGCGCGGAGGCATCGTTCTCCTGTTTTAATTAGCATATTAAAACGGGTAAATTAATTAATTAGCGAATACCATAGCGCGACACGTCTGACACGAGGCTCGTGCTTTAAGCAATTTTGTGCTATATATATATTACGATTATATGAAACTTATGCGAGAAGGATCGCGACCGATAGATCAGTAAGTATAGATATCTTTCAAGATATTCGTGTATGTATCTATCGAGTGTGAAAAGAAAGAAAAACGCGCGTATGTATGTCTGAGAGAGAAAGAGAAAGAGAGAGAGAGCGCAATAGTGATAAAAGATTTTGCGAGCATGAGCGAGCGATTCATGTTAATCGGTAAAAACCAAAAATATGTTTATTATTGCTAAAGAAGATATTGATCGAATAAATTGTTTTTCTTATAAACGCCTTGTATCATTACAACGTTTCTTTCCCATACACTTATCCTCCACATTACTTTACCACGTATCTATGTTTTAATGCATATTGCATGCTGCATAATTTAACAAACGCTTTCAATAATTAGGACAAAGTACCTACGTTTCTAACATTTCAAGACTCAATATAATTATCACTTTGACCTAAGTAATATTATTTTCCTAAAGATCATTTATTTAATCATGTGCAAACACTCTGCAAATTATCCAGAAATTACAATCATCTGCAGTCACAAACTGAATCGTCGAATCACCAATGCGTCTTACGTGCAAGCTTGTGCTTAGAAATTGACGATGCAATTAAATAGAACATTTTGTTGTTCCATTTCTCTAATTCGTTCCACTTGTCTTTGAAAGTATTTCGTATAATGTTTTACTCCAATTGTACATGTGAATTGTTCGTACACAAGACATTTGGCAAAATTCTATTTTTTCGAATATAAAATTACTTTGTTCCGATAACTTTACGTAACGCAAAATTTTTCTACGCGTCACCTAGCCCTTGCTAATTCTCCGCCTTTGGCATGCATTTTTCCTTGGATGCCGAAGGTCGGCCATTGTCGCGATAAGATAATTTTGTTACGTCTCTCCGAGCAATTAACGGCATAATCGTTCACGGAGGATTCCAACTACATTCGTCTAAGAGTGAGTTTCGTGCGCAGAAATGAAAGTGTCACAGTTCATACAAACTGATCCAATATATATTCTTCGTTCTTCCAAAACATTTATTATTATACTAATTCTCTGATGACGCATTGGACAAAACTATCGTATTTATTAACGAAAAACAAGTACAATATTATGTGCCGAATTGAACATTTGGGAATCTTTTGTGCTAAATACTTAATGACACGTGATGTGAAACTTGTCGGCCTGATATACATAACTTGCGTTAATCAGTCGATAAAATCTGATTGATGCATAACAGAACGTGTTGTATATCGATGGATCGATTGCACAATGTTGTCGTATTATCGCATTAATTTCATCGCGGGGAAACAAAAAGAAGATGCGTTAAGCAAGAGTTTACGTGTCGATGCAGCATGTGCGCGATGTAATTACGTTTCCTCGAAAGAGGATCGACTCAGATGTATCGTAATTACAGTGAACTGTGCAAGCAATCAGTACTTATGATTCCACCAAACGTGTAATGCAACCCCTAAAGTGTATTTCTCGCCGGATTAATGATAAATGTGCCACAGTAAAACCGGAAATTGTGCCACTTTGCTTATGACCTTCCTGCACGTTGCCGTGCAATTGCACATTGTATCGTGCAATTACGAACAACCGACGTAATTACAAAGTAAGCGTCCAAATTACGATAAAGCGTCGGTTGTAACAAGCGATGCGATACGCAAATTCTCGTACATTATCCAAGTAATGTAATTCTCAAAATATTGATGTCTCTGTTCAAATTTCAAGCTTGTATGAAATATTTTTCAGAATTTTCTCCATTACAGACGAAATAAAGTTAACATATTTAAAGACAACTTGTCACGTTGTATGAAAACAATCGAGAAAATAAAAATTAAATATTTTTATATAAACGAATAAGTATAAGAACTTTCTTGCAATTCATCTAATAAAAAAATATATTCTCCGCAATTTTGGGAATATATAATTTTGCGAACAAAGGCAAAATTTTGCACTACTTATCTCGCGACGTAGCGTAAAATATCAAATTATCCGTTACTTTTCTGCATATCTCTTCGAGAGTGAGGCGTGCGTCTTGGTCAGTAAATTGAGAAATCCAAAAAGTGAGATAAACCGGCATGCACGGTGTCGACGGTGTGCACGTTGCGTCCGTAATTGGTCAATTTGCATTTCGCGATCCGGGGCGAAGGCGAGCCGCGATTCGCGAGATAACGGAAGACGGGAGAGAAAGAGAGAGAGAGGAAGAGAGCGAGCGCGAGATAATCGGGCCACACTGCCCGATTTCTATCGGAATGCGGCAATTTATACGATCGGCACGATAAGCCGCCATCCTCGCCGGGAAAGACTCTCCGTTCGCTTCCTCGATTCACCTGCGTGAGTCGACGATGCGCGGTCTCGAGCGCAGCTCGCGCGCGTGCTGCGTGCGTTGCGCGTTCGCATGTCAGAAAGTTTTTCAGTTATCGTGCAACCTCTGTTGCGCCCTTGACGTACCAATCACTTTGAGAAATCTTTAAAAGATTTTGGTTTGAATATTTAAAAACTTAACGTCTTCTGCACTGTTATCACTGTTACCTGCATAGAACAAGTGTATCTTATATGCAAGAACAGTAATTATTAAAATTACAAGAGAGTAACATAATATATACCGAAAAAACGGTGTTAGATCAGCTCTTATATACTCAGATTAATTCGTTTATTGTTTTGTATATATCGCAACAATCTCTAATCTTCTTAGAAGCATTTAAGAATCTTACATTCCAACGATATTACAGTCTCATCGAATGTATTTCGCGTTATTGTCAGCATTGTTTTCGTAATATTTAATTAGTATTTTGAGGTTCCAATTACGGTGTTCTGTTAGTATGCGGCATGTCTCTTGCTGTTAGTATGTGATTTAAGTAAGACGTTTTCTTTTATTATTATCACACGTCTTCAACACGCAATCCTTAAAATTTTTATCTTATTCATCTTATACGTCGAAGACCTCTTCGATAATTTAAGAAACCACAAAAAATCAACGGATCTTTACGGGCCAAAATTAACGACGCGGCCTTGCTACATCCGAGTGACCTCACACGTATAAACGGGAATTCGAGAATGAAAGCAAGAGGCACCAACCGGTTTGAACGTACCCTTAACCGAGTGAGTCTTCTCGCAGTAAATCATCCTATATCCCAGCGCACCGTTTTTCTTATCTTGAAAGTAGAACAATTATATCTTTTTTGTAGTTCGCAAGTGAAAAGGAAAAAAAATATACCGGATATTTCTTAAACGCCACGAAACGATACTGGTCGTCCAAACTTTAACACGTCGTTGTGCCTCGTCATGCCGGACGGTAGAAAAAACTAATGAATTAACAACGTAAGCAACGTTTATCTGTTTTTTTTAGTCACTGTTTGTATAACAACGTTTTCAGATGATATTGATCAGATATAGCCCTATCTTGAGCGAAAAGGCGAAAACAAATTATCCCGCTGGATACGGGATAATCAATTTATTTTTTGTTTCCGCCATCCGCCTCATCTACCTCACAAAGCCGTCTTCTTTCTTCGTCGGTTTCTTCCTGCGACGAGGAACGATCGCCGATAATCTATTACCGGGCGGTGGGACGGCGCCTGATCGGCCGCCCTTCGTCCTTTTTTTCACCTGCACGGGCTGATGACTTCTTCCAAAGTTAGCTCTCATCTTAGCACGTGTATTCGCATATTCCTTTATTTCATTGTTACCGTATAATAACATGCTGTTCACCATTGCATTAGGCGTAGACATTTTTCGGAATATTAGAATTTACAAGTAAACACTAACAATAAGTGCTTCAATGTAAAGTAAATATACGAGAGGCATCTTAATTTTTTAAAATTAATTATATAATTTTTCAAATAATTTTTCTTTTGTAATATCAACGGGTATCGAAATATATTAGCGTACTATTGTATTATATCTAAATGTACAGCCACACTAATTGTAAGAGACCCATTTTGTTGAATGAAACAAAATCATTTGATTGAATTATTTGTTGACTGAAAACGGGTCTCTCAGTGTAAGATGGAGGGACAATTTATTCTAAATTCAAGAATATATAAACCTGCATTTATATAAGTGACTCTTGTCTTAATATAGTGTGTCAATCTTTTCTAATTCGACAGAGGAGAATAAGAATTATTGATTTTATTTTGATATTGTCTTATTTTTATACTAAATGAGATTGTGAGTAATATAAATGCGCTAATATTTTTTGTCTTAGAAATCCTTTCTGAGGGCGTGTTATATGTAAAAGAGCAAGCGTTTTATTCTCGCCTAACAACAGGCGCGATTCATTTTTAACAGGTAACTATCTTAGCTTTGCAGACCTATTATCTCCGACTTTCTTCGTTTTCCGCCTCATCCACGTGCAAATGTACGGTATTTCGTACGCCTGGGGCCGTATTAACCGCCATTAGTCCTCAATTAACTTTTTCCCTCGCACTCAATGGAGCCGCGGATCAACCGCAAATGAAAAATTTGTCGTAATCGCTCGTGATCGGCCGCAACTTTGTAGCGCTCTTTACGAACTTTAAACGTTGTAATCATCGGCAATCGAGTCATTAGTCGATGACACGTTTGCGAGGTAAAATTGAAATTCTTCACACGAGACTCGAACACGATTGTAAATTAATCAAAATCGAGCAGGGGCCTGTCTCGCTTCTCATCTACTGGTATTCCGCATGGCTGTTCAATTTACATCGCACTTACATCAGTTTGTAAATTATTGAGACCTCGCATCTTATGTGAGAGAGCATAAAAAAGTTATATAGCTGTCAGTTCATCACGCCGATATCTTTCACGAGATAATATTGCGATCTCACCGTTTCTCCATTTTCTTTAGCTTCTCCACGCAACATTTTACCATAAACTCTATTGTTCTTTTCCGGCAACGTAGAGTTTTGAATATCACACGTATGAGAACGTCCAATCAAGTCAGGCCTACCGTTAGAGAATCATGTCCGGTTTATGAATGCGTTTCTTTCTATCTTTGCTATGCTCCGGTACCGTATTTCGGTATCATCGACCGATTCCCTGTTCTGGTTTCCACATCTCTGAGTTTATTACCACTAATTACGGATGGGCAATAAACTCGTCCCATAACGCGGACGTTCGAAAACCCAACTTTTCCCTCGCATCGCCGCTCGAGCGCGCTTTCCGCTCGAGTCATCCGCACATAGTTTTTTTTTTTACGTACTCCGATTAGGCTACTTCTTGGTGCATAACTGACGAACCTTTACAAACAACCATCCCTCGTAATAAAAATTATATTATTGACTAGCAATTAATCGC